CCCGCCTCCGCCTGCCTCCACTCCTCCACCCATCGCCTCCACCCTCCTCCGCTCCTCCGCGTGCCTCCACTCCTCCGTGCGCCTCCGCCCATCGCCTCCGCTCCTCCGCGCCCCTCCGCTCCTCAGCCCGCCTCTGCTCCTCCGCGCGCCTCCCCTCGTCCGCCCATCGCCTCCTCGCGCCTCCGCTCCTCCGCTCCTCCTCGCGCCTCCGCTTCTCCGCCCATCACCTCCACTCCTCCGCCCATCGCCCACCCGCCTCCGCTCCTCCGCCCGCCTCCGCTCCTCCGATCGCCTCCCCCCGCCTCCGCTCCTCCGATCGCCTCCGCCCGCCTCCGCTCCTCCGATCACCTTCCCTCGCCTCCGCTCCTCCGCCCAGCGCCTCCACCTGCCTCCGCTCCTCCGCCCATCGCCGCCAGTTCTCCGCCCATCGCCGCCGCTCCGCCGCCCACGTCCGCCCCTCCGCCCACCTCCGCTCCTCCGCCCACCTCCGCTCCTCCGCTTCTCCGCCCCTCCGCCATCCTCCGCCCAGCTGCGCCCACCTCCGCAAATGCCACATCTGAGCAAAAACAGCGCCTACGAACAGCTCTCATCTGATGCTGTCTACCACGGACCCTGGAAAGTTCTCAAGGTGATTGGAGATGCAGATGGACCCTCGTATATAATTTACGTCCCCCCAGACCTCGAGACCTACCTTGTGTTTCATGCGTCTAAACTACTCCATATATCGAGGGACATGATTTTCTCAACAGACCATCTATGTTTTCTCCTTCAATGAATGGAGGCTATGAAGTTGAGAAGATACTGGAACATGGATACTTTTCTACAGGTGGCAGATGAAGACTGCAAAAGCAGTTCAAGGTAAAGTTGACGGGTACAAACCCCTGGAATTGGCCTCAAGGCCTGAGCGCCCGACAGTTGACTTCGGTCAACTGCCCAGCGGCCCACGAGTCAAAGTCTGAATGGACCCAGCCCAAGCTGCCAGTCAGGCACACACACTTGTTTGTATGCAGGTAACAAGACAGTGTTCAGACCAAGTGGAAGTCTGGAACTGTGTGAGATCCCGACCGTTGGTTGTGAGTCAATCTGAGCCACCGTGGGTGGGAGACTTGAGGCAGGTCAACCTCATCAAACGTTACATAAGGCCCTGCCTCCAGGGAGTCAACATTCAGTCTTGCTATGCTGACTTGATGCTGCATAGACGCTGGCTGGACGTTGGCTTGACGCTGGCTGTATGCGGGCACTGTGGACGACAACGCGAGATTGCAGTGCGTGCTGGCGCCTTCCTGTCTTGACGCCAGCTGTCATCATTGCTGACGTGGCATTTCTCACCCTGACTGACGTGGCGCATGCCACGCTGTCTTCGACATTGCTGACGTGGCATCTGCCACACTGTTGTCATAGCTGAGTTGGACGCGACAAGGAGGGAGATCGGGATCTGTGGATTAACTGATTAAGAGAGGGGATACTTACCTATTGGGGCTGTCGAAATTGTACTGCTGAACTGTGCCACGTAACACTCTAATGTGATCCGGCTTTGTCAGGCTCGTTCTTGGACACTATTGCTGACGTGGAGGCACGGGAAGCCCAGAGAAGGAGAGGGAAATGTTGGGCTACTACCTCTGTGGTCATTGATGGATACTTACTCTTCCACCCTCTAAATTGTCTATTCTTCCTCTCACCTCTTCGTCTATTGGTTATGAGACATTGTATCTCAGATCACATTCATGATCATTGGAGCCATTATTCAACGTTGAGTTATCTGGTACTTCGACATTTGACAAGTGTTCCTCCAGACTGGGTTCATCCCTTCCCTATACTCTTAAAGACTACAAAGGGCCCAGCGTGACGCCCCGTGCTGGGCCCAGTGAAAATCTGTTTGGCGCTCCGAGGCAGTGGGCGAGGGGGAACCGGTAGCGCGTCGGTGTCGACATAGCGAAAGCCGGCCCGTCGGTCCGTGAGGCGGGTGGGCCTGCGTGGCGGCGGTCGATGGCGGGCGGATGTGGGCCTGAGCGCAGTGTGGTGCGGTGCAGTGCAGTGCGTGGGCCTGCGGTTTTTTTTTTTTTTGCCCGTCGCGCGGTTTTTTTTTGTGCCCGTCGCGTGGGGCGCGGGGGACCAAACCACGTTATCGGAGCGAGCACACACACACGAACGATTCATTCGGAGAGTTATCGTCTCTCTCTCTCTCTCTCTCTCTCACACACACACACACACACACACACACACACACACATGAACGATTCATTCCGATTTTACTCAAAAAGTGGCAGTGTATATTTCCACGTTTCAGCGGAAGATTCATTCCGTTTTTGCAAATCCTATCGATGGAATGTGTGTATGTGTGGCATACTGCGTAGCCACACGGGCCTTGCAGGGCCCGTCCCGCACTTTCAGCCTAAAAGCCTAGAAAATAGGGCTTACAGGCCCCGGTCGTTTCAGTCTGAATCTGAAAAACGAGGGCCTGCAGGCCCTATTCCGTTTTCAGCCTATTGAAAGGCCCAGAGGCTTTTCAGCCTGAAACGGAGGGCCATTTTCAAGCCCTCATTGTTTCGACCGACCCTAGGACTCGGGCACAAAAACAGGGTTTTCGGAACAGGCTATCTTTAGCCTGTTCCCCACGACAGCTCGAGCAGGAGCGGCAGCAGCAGCCCCTGCCCCTCCGGCATTGGCAAGAGCAGCCTCCTCGACTGCCTCGCCTGCAGTCAGGAGGCACCCGGTAGTACATAAGAAGTTCCCATGCACTTCACGGGTAGGTAGTTGGACAGTAGGCACGAGTAGTCTTCAGGATTCAGCGCAGCACTCAGGAGGAGCGCTGCAGGGAGTAGCTTAGCGCTGGCAGTAGTCTTCAGCGCTGGGCGCTAGTAGCCATAGCAGTAGTCTTCAGCGCTTGGCGCTAGTAGGTGGTAGATAGTAGAGTTGGGAGAGATGGCTGGCGGAGGCCAGCAAGACTTACCTATGGCGCCATAGCTCCAGCTCCATCTTCGAGGTACCTGCATCAAGGCGCCAACTTCACAGGTTAGTACTGGACTGAGAGAGAGAGAGAGAGAGAGAGAGAGAGAGAGAGTTCTTCTTCCTCTTCTTCTAAGTCCACCATCTCTTCCTCCCCTCTCACCACCTGACTTCTCAGTATCAGCGGACTACTACAGAGAGAGAGTTGTGACTTGGGACTTGACGACATTGGATCCAGACTTGACATTTGGGATTCAGACATTTCGACGAGGGACTATTTGGGCCTGTGCCGAAGACTTGGTGTTGACGACATTCCCATCTTCCCCCTCCTCTTCATCTAACCCCCTTCTTCTTCGTCTGTGTATGGTAGGGGCTGGCGCAGTCTTCCTGTGTGAAGTGCCAGACCCCATTCACACCATGTAACGATGATGATGATGTATGTTCAGGGCTGCATTGCAATATTGATTGTTCGGATCATTGGTTTCTAAGTTTTCCCCTTCGCCATCTTGTACTTTGTATTGAGAGGTCGGTTCTTGTTCTGGTCTGCACCGTTACAGTATGCAACAGTATGTGTGTGTGTGTGTGTGTGTGTGAGTGAGAGAGAGAGCCGATAAGCCGCACTCGATAGAATGAGCAAATAAAAAAGTGGCAGTGTATATTTCCACGTTTCAGCGGAAGATTCATTTCGTTTTTGCTCATCCTATC